TCACCATTCCTAGTCCTTTTCCTATTTTCACGCTTACCATGAGTGTGCACAGCTGCTAAACTTCCTCCTTTCGGAGTCCAGTAATGTTACTTCTCGTCTCATCTGCAATACCACGCTGAACACTCTTAAGCAAGCTACCTTAGACTAAATCCGCAAGGCAGGTATTGCACAAAAGCTTCACTTCTCCTACGTTGACCGTTGCAACCAGCCTTGAACTTCATTCGACATCCACCCTAATCTCGCGTCACTGCAATCTGGTCGATAAGTACGCGTAAAGCGCTTGCCACCGTCCATATCGGACTGGTGGCTGGACCCAACACGTGACCTGGGAAACGATCACTGAACACTTGTCTAACACACTGTGGAACGTTAGCCGGCAACTTGTTACTGTCCGATAGTTGAGTCCTAGACGCACCTAGCCATCTCACACTATACCCCACGAGATAGACCTCAGTAACTGTTCTAGAATATTTAGACACCAACAAGCTGTGCACTTATTGCAAATGTCTGCTAACGCAATAAAAATAAATGCCACATCGACTAGAAGAAATGAAAAAAACACAGGAAAGCGCAGCAAAACAGGTTGCGAATACGTCCAGGGTCCTACCTGATATGCATAACACAGGATCCAACATTAGCCACGAAAGAATTTATAAACAATCTAACCACCTGTACCGACCTACTTGAACCCACACTGTGGAAGAAGCCCATAGCAGTAGTAGCCAACGCAAACCATGCTTCAAAATTACCACCAAGTTGAAGAAACTCAGGTCCCAATATGACAAAAATAATAACTTTGCAACATTTCTGCAAATTCATGAGACTCTACTGAAAGTGAAACATCAAGCACTGCAAGTGGAAATCCCCGAAGTAAACAAAGCGCTAAAATATCCGCAAAATATACAAACCCTAGTGAAACTTCTCAATAGGAGGAATCCAATGCAATAACATCAAATCCAAAGTCTGACATTAGCAGATGGCTCAACAACTGACGACATTAGGCAAATGTGTGAAGCATTGAACTCGTATTATGCAGGCTCATGCAATACACTTATCAATATGTCCCATCCTCTTCTAAAACGGAAGACAGACGAAGCGCCCTCGAGTATTCCCGTGAACCTGGATGATGTTCTAAGGAGTATACTCTCCGTATAACCGTCATCGCAGCCAGGACCTGTTGGTAGTCCTCCAGATGTCATCAAGTATGGAGGCAACATCCGTTGCTGATGTGAAACATCTTCACATTATCTCGAAACTGTGGACATTTCACTGTATAGTAGAAAATCTCGGCAATAGCACCAAAACACAATGGTGGCTCCCGATCTGCAATGACAAATTATCGCCCATATACTCATACTGCGGCAACCTCAAAGGCAATGGAGCGAATTGCCAAGGATGGTGTTGTTCAATTCTCAACAAGATTAGACCTGAGAAACAACGCACAACATGGCTTTCTTACGAAACGATCCCGTGTGACCAGTCAAATACAATTCTTCTATCATGTAACATCGGTTGTTGACTGTGACATGGCAGTTATTGTCATTCTACGAGAGATGCACAGGGCCATCCATTGTGTGCCACATAAACTTTTGTTGTCCGTCCTGCACTCTTACGGCGTCAGCAACGCATCGCTAATCTGGTTGAAATCCCACCTAGAAGATCGGACGCAGAGAATTAAAATAGACCAGCAACTCTCCTCCTCGGGAGGAGTTACAAGCGGAGTTGTCCAGGACACTCTTATTGGGCCACCACTCTCCGTAACCTATATAAATACCATATGTGATTCTACCAAACATGGATGATCATACCACTTTGCGGACGACATAAAAGTCGTCTACTCATTGCCACCAGACAGTGTTGAGTCGGGCCTTTAGAACATACATGAGGACTTATCTGCGCTGGACTCTTGGAGTAGAAATTGGTCCATGCAATTCTCCGCTGAGAACTCGCATGTGTTTAGGTATGGATGCTGCATACCTGATGACTCCATCACCCTAGTCGGTATAAACATCCCAAACTCCTCTTCATTCAGGGGCCTTGGAGTAATATATTCCACATCGCCTCACTCTTTCCAGCAGGTCTCATCTCAGATAACAAAGCTTAAGCGTTTGAACGCTTGTCACTAAATCTGTTGTTCTACATGAAGGGCGACTGGAAAAGTTTAAGCTTATTTTGATACCTATACTGGGGAACCGTACAGCCATCTATTGTCACCTGCGTTGTACGGATCAAATTGATTTAGAAAACATTCAGCGTCCTTTCACGAAACTCCTTATTGGCCGGTTCGCCACTCTGAACTATGAGGACCGCTGTCGCCGCCTCTAACTACACCCTCCATGGCTACGCCGCCTGAAAAATAATCTGGTTCTATTTTTACGAAATTATACATTGCTGGATGAACACGACCGGAATAGATCTTTCCCTGCAAAATTCCTCAACCTGTCTCACGAGAAATAGGAGTTACTCACCACCCATTAAACGGGGAACCACAAGATCCGCTCTAACTTCTTCCTGGTAACATATACTCACATATGGAACAAGCTACCGATGAAAGTACGGGCAAATGAGCACCTGACTAAAATTACAATGGACTTGGCACCTTTTCTCACCACGCAGGACATACTGAAAATATTCGGTCTTCAAGTGTCTACAGATGACTTGATTTCCTCAAGTACAAACAGTGTACGACATATAATGCAGGTTCACCGCACTCCAGCATACTTTAACTTTATGCTCGAAAATGCCACGCTTGAAGTTCCACTTGCAGGTGGAGAAACAAAAATGTTTATCGTTTGCTTTATCTCGTCTTCTTGGAATTTAACTACGCCACTGGGCTATGACATCCGGTTAATTCGCATCACCTAGTGCGTATTGAACGGAGAAGCTAACCCATTAATAACACTACCTGTTATTCTAAACTACTGCAATATTTTATCACACCCAATCATATCGCATCCCACATTGTCGTGACACATGCTATGTGTCTACTCATCTGGTTGATATTATTTCTACACGCTAATTTAACTGCTCCATCACAATCTCCTGTGATTCTGTTAGTCCCGAGTGGGCCGATCTACTGAGGTGTTGGTTTGAAGCTTCTAATCAACATGTATACCCACGCCAAAAGACGCACTGGGTGCAGAAAGTAGCAAAACCTCCGATCTAAACTGATGAACTCACATTTAATAGCACATGACGCCAACCGGTGATCCCGGTCATCATGCACGCAAATACTTATGAATAACCAAAAGGGATGACTGGTTTGAGTAACTAGCTCACAAAGCAAACAAATGACCAAATGATGAATCAAATCGGTAGTGGTCAGCGTGCTTTTAAACCACACCAACACATGACCAGATGGGGCATGGAGATGCGGGTGAAACCTCTCCAAGAACTACTCGACATGGAAGCAGGTCCCCGGGAGACGGTTCCATGGATGACCGTATTGGTTCACTTGTTCTTTCTTACCCTACTTCAATCTGCATTGAATCTGTTGTGCTCCTCGTTCCCAGTTACATCATCTTTACCGTCCTACTGTCTTACCGATATTTCCCACCAAATCATTCCTTAGACCGCGTCCTTGATCTTACTTGTGATGCCTTTCCTCTCTACGTATAGGCGAGAAATCGGTGGACTACTGCACACTTTCCTAATCACCCTGTATTTGGCATCTTCTACAAAAATACGATGTGCTCAATATATTCTGACTTTGCAGAGAACAAGTGCTTATTTCTTTGTTTACTTGACTGTTAAATTCTGCATTTCCAACATTAACTTTTCCGTGCATTATCACGCACACCATAGAAATCCTCCTACAGATGAATGCTGAAAGGAATGCGACTGAGCTCAACCAACATCTCAACCATCTGGCTGCGGAAAACAAAGCTTGAATAGATCAATTCAATAATTAGGGTTAGGAATGTCTAGACTCCACGCCATGCCTTAACTCCCTACGATGTGAATACTGCTTGCATCATTCTGATATAGCAACTTCAGTTTGATGATCCACTGGAGTTACCTTAATACAGCCTTATTTTCGCAACTCCCTAACATGCTACTCACAAATGCCAGCAACTGTATTACCCCAGTCTATTAAGCAGCCTTGTGTATAATTCGTCCGATATTGATTGGTGACTAACTGCATCATGCTTTTCATACCCCTTCCACCCCCCCCCCATCAATACTCCGCCATCATGGCAACACCAAGTTACATCGAAAACAACCGAATGAGCATGCCTGCGAACTGGTCACATAGGGCGATAAAAGTCCCAAGTAAAAACATCTCTCTTGTAACGCTGTAATACTCCAAACCACTGACAGCATCGCATGCCTGATCATGTTGCAATGTAAACATGATCCGGCCATTCGTGGGCTTGGTTTCTCGGTTGCATGAGAATCATAACCTGTTTTCATTAGTATTGTTGTTATAATAATAATTATCATTATTACTAGCATTATTAGTATTGTTAATATCGTTGGACGTCTATCGACATCAACCAGTGTGATTGAACAGATATATTTGCCATTTCGCATTACCCCTGCATAATTCATAGTCATAAGTATGGATGGTGGGCACCAACGATACATCCTGCGTGTTGCTACTGTGAAGCGCGCACAACTTGGTGGGACTGGAATCCGTTCGTTGAAGATCGACCTTTATACTGCGCCGCATACAGGTGTGATGTAAACTCGCACATTGACCAGAATTCGGCAGTAGTGACCAATATCCGGCGATAAATATCTGCTTTACAATCACACTGTCAGGTCGCAAGAAGGGTGAACTATACTGTATTCTGGCGTTTAATTCCCTTTGTGCTCAAAATATCTCCGTTCAAATCAGCCTGAAAGAAACAGGGTATGACTACTTTAAAGCTTCATACATTCCATGGACATGCCGGTCAATTTTCATAAACATTTGGGTGCTGTTCACGCGGGGTTAATTCAGCCTTCTTGACAATCCGAGCTGAGTTCAAAGGACTGCTGGTCAATTGGACAGCAGATCATTCGCGTATTGCATCCGAAATGTTAGCACTCGCATCCGCATCCGCTTCTGCAAGAGCTAACAGCTGAGATGAAGGGAATGCGATACCCACTCTGTAGAACGCAACATTGAGTTGCCACCTGACACGTGTTGTCGTGATGTTGGCAGTCACGTGTATTCGCTCACTGCATGTGCAACTCGGCGCTAACTGGGGGCGCAACCAGTTTAGCGAAGCTGTCTGGTCGTACCCACCGATAGCGAAGCCGGAGTGCCATGCTAAATCATGGAACGTGTGCAATGATAACCGTTGGGAATAATAACCTCAGAAGATGCCTCATGACACTGCACTATGCTTCTTATGGTCAATCGCTTCACCGTTGCATGATTTCTGATCCGACCGGCACTTGTAATGCAACTCCAATCGCTGTGGCGAGCTGACGCAATGTCAGGTTGCCTCATTGACTTTAATGGACGCCACCACTAAAGCACCTGAATCATGCATTGTGATCAAGGTAGTGTGTTCACTGTGTCAGAATAGCACATCGTATAATGTCCCACGTTTGATGCCGCTTACACCGTATTCGTCGTCTGGTTCTGCTGTGTATCGAATCACTAACCCGGGAGTAGCGTATATTCCCATACTCGAACAATGTACATGAAACCAACAAATTAGTTGGACTAAGGCGACTCGCTATCGTTTTTAACTTGCGTTCATTAAACTGACTCTGCTAGCCTTCCGAGAGTGCCCGCTGAATCCTAGTGCGCGATCGTCTCATCAGTGTGCCCTTCGAGCCAAAGATGCAGTCCATGAGCTCACAAACGTGCCACAGCAAATTGCAAAGACACATCTCACCTGTCAGATGTACGCGGGTGCAGTTCTAAGTATCCGTTGAGATTATGAGCAGCACAACCTAGTCGAACACATTCTGTGCAAGTTCCACGATGCCTCCTGTTCATTCACTTAGTCTGAAGTCAGCGAATCAGCGTAAGATTGCAATTCTTCTAAAACGCGAAGTCTAGAAGCAGCAGTGGTGGTGTAGTAACTACATTTGCCGCTCCGGGGGGCGGTGGCAAATGCTTCACCCTGACAGAAGGCAGAATAGAGGCGTGAAGGCTACACAATCGGCTCAGGGTAGGGTTTACACTAGATTTTGAGGAATTGGATGATCGTTTGAGACACTGAGGTAAACGTAGTGAGAGGGACTTCAATGGTACAAGTAAGGGGATTGCTGGGAAGAGCGTTCGCACAGGTGTGGTACATGGCGCAATGCTGTTGTTAGACATACAAAGTAACATTAAAATGTTCAACTCGCAGCTTAACTGGAAATTTTGCCCTGTATATTTCGTATCGGAAACTCGACGGTACTAAAACTGCCGCCCCAGTTGTATGCTGACGTGGGCAGACCGCTCCCCGGCCACCATGCTACGCCACTGTCTAGCAGATGTGAACTGACTGTGTCAATTAAGCAGAGGTCGTTTTCTATTCGTGGACGAGCAAACCACAGTTTGTTTTCGCGAAGAACGCAAGCCAATGTGGTGACAAGACTACTATTGTGCAGGGCATAACAGAGTGACCATTGCACATGAAAGAATGTACATGATGAATGGTTAGCCCGACGCAAACTGCGTTCGTACTGCGTGCCCATGATTTCGCCTGATATGGCAAGCAGTGGTCGAACTTAGAGAACATCGCTCATCGGACCTCCTCAACTCCCATGTCCTCGTGCGTGTCCAGTAGTTGTATCCTGTTCGTACGCGATACGCGTCTTACTACACAACTGTGTTTTATGATTTCACTTGAGCGTAACAAGTAATAATTTTTCGACCGAATGTCCATGCAGAGTGCAAGGCCAGCTGTGCGATAATGACAGTTCTGCGTCGTTTAGTCGGAGAGAGTTAAAGTAACAGAGGAGCGCCATGTGAATGTTGTGGTCACCACATCATAATAAGCTGGTTCTCAGGATAAGTCGAGCAGTGCATTGTATAGAAATCCTCTCTTATGTCACTAATCGACTTCATCCTGGTTATACTGATTAGACGTTCCTAGCTCGTCCTATTCCATATTTCCTGACGGCAGTCGACAGACACTTCCTGTGCTTTTTGCTTCTCTTCACAAGCAAGCAGAATTGTATGGTCATTCGCTTGTTCTATTCCATTTCCAGTTGATACCCTTGGATCGTATGTACAGTGACATCGATTGTTCATTAGTCTACAGTGCCACAATTACTGGGATATCACTTTACCAAACAGGTTGTCCCACAACTCCGAAATCACTGCTGTTCGTTCTCACGAGTCCTGTCCATTAGTAGTCAGCCAGTTGTATGCAATCGTTGCTGTAATAATATTGTGCAATCTGTGTACGCTGCTGTGCTCACTGCGTCCGAGTTTCACGGTCCAGACCATGCAACATTTCGGCAATCTGGTTCGCTGTGTTTTCCAATGCTGCATTAGAGTTAGTTGCATCAGTTGATGAATTATTTCAGGGCAAACTGGGGAAAGACTGGTAGCAATACGCTCCGCATCTTGTAGTCAATATCTTGAACTGCGGTCACATGCCGTCACACTGACGAAGCCGCTCGTACTTAGTCGCAAAACACCTCTCACGTTTGCTCGACTCGTTCTGCGTCAGACAAGCGCGAACCTCAATGCATTTCACGAAGATGACGGGGGCTGTGATGTGTAGCAAAAGGTGGTCCATGAGTGTTAGCTGGTTGATTCGGCAGACGCACAAGCGAGAAGCGGTAGGGCTATTAATACTTGAATGGAAGTATAAGGCGCACGTTAGCTTTATTCATGATGTAAAACAGCGGATTGCACAAGGCAGTTCGATGTGAATGCGCTGCATTTCGATTGCAAAAATTCCGGAGCAGTCGGACTTCCACTGGCGGTTACTGCTCGCCTGGCAACCCAGATTTCGATCCATCTTACTGACCAACTGATAAATAGCAGGTTGATTCTGATCTCTTACTGTGCAATGCAACTAAAATAGTGTCAACCTGCTTTGTGAACAGCTTCACAAGTCGAGTATATCCATGTGTTTGATACCGCGATTGCAGAGCTACGATGAACTCAGAGCAAACCACTATGTCCGTTATCAGTTTTCTGTTGATCAAGCAGTGTGCTTAATTGGGTTACTCGTCTTACAGTCAGTGTTTCCAGACCAATGCCTAGTATGTTTTGGTCGCACCAGCTTGCTGCTTGATCCATGACCAAGAACACTGAGATTCATCAGTGTTAGTTGCATCAATACATCTGACCTAAGTGTTGAGAGTGAGTATCCTTTAATATGATAATCAAACCATCGCGTGCTGCACAATCTCTGCAAGTCAGTCGCATGAGCGACTTGATCTGGAACCATGGAATTACAAGTTTCTTATTAACTTCTATGACGTAGTTCCTAAGAGCATGATCAACTGACCAATTAGTCAATTGCCGATCGCGCACATGCACACGGCAACTGCTCGCTTGTGGTATGCTACTCGTATCTCTCACGATTCATTGGACGCGTGCACAATTATCGTGGTATCACTGCATTTTCGCCCCGACAACGAATGCGCTGTTGCGTTTGTATGCCGTCAAGCAGGCAATGAGCGCCAGCATTGCGTCACTGCTCTCATTCCGCACAACGAGTCGCCCAATCATCACCACCCGGCAACGATGTAATGGCACGGCTGACACGGTGGCAGTGGGATCAGTTACCATGATACCGCGCATTCGGAGCAGTCAGAAATCGATGCGACGATTGTTCCACTGTCGCAGTTCCATCACATGGATGTGAGGTGATGCGCACTCCAAACTGCGCACTCCACATTCTGTGTCGCGTCGATTTGCGATGTTCACTTGTGGATAGTGGATGACAGACTGGAACCCGGAACGTGGAAATGGCGAGCTGGAGAGTGCACCACCACCAGGCGCACACGTAGGGTATACTGCAACGGTTGCAAACTCATTGCTAATAAGCAGTTTGTAGTTCTCCTCATGTGTTGCATTCCAACTTGCAACCACAATTTGGGTCACAACATGATTTGCAGTGAACCTTGCTCGTAGAACCGATAGGGACCGTTTTGAAGCGTATAAATTCTAACGATGATGGGAATTCGCTTTCTCTGCGTTAGTGTGTCGTGTGAATGTCATGAAGTACCTGGAAACAGTTGCGTAGTGGCGAAGTAGATAGTTTGGCGACGAAATCCGTGGCAGACGCGAAATTTATTGGCGGCGGCGGATTTGTTTACTATCCGCGGTGCGTTCGTCATCTACACCATTTCCCGGCCAGGTTGTCCTCTTGGGCAACAGAAATAATCTGATGGAGCATTCAACATGAGTCTACTCAATTAATTTGTTCCCTGCGTAGGAGCGGAATCGTCCCACCTGCATCCCTATGACTTAGTGCGTCTGAGGTCCGATTGGCTGAAGGCGACGGGCTATACACGCACGCCTACACACCTGCACAAGAGACTGGCGTACGAACGGAACAAATTAATTGAGTAGACTCATGTTGATTGCCCCCTAAGATTATTTGTTTGCCTAAGAGGACAACTTGGCCGGGGAATGGTAGAGAGAATTCTCAATAGATCCATGCAACGCCACAGTGGTCACCTGAAGGTCATCTGTCCCGCTCAGCATGGTTTCCGGAGTACACGCTCGTGTGCTTCCAACCCGTTTGTGGCCAGTGAAAGATGAGCTAACTCGTTGAATAGCGGCAGTCTCCTGGACGTCGGATTTGTTGACTTCAGGAAAGCATCGGTTAAACTACCGTTCTCATGACCAGTGGAGTTCCGCAAGTCAAAAACCTGAGTATTACATTCAACAACGGTCTTCCATCAGAGCTCCTAACGGATTGCTTGCCATATAAAATAAATAAAATAAATTTGTATATTTACCGACGGACGGTACACGGCCCCATAAGTGGGAGCGATCATGTGTATAGTGAACACGTTTCATAACATTAAATAAAAGTTTATTAAGAGCATTTCGGATCATGATTACTTTTCCTTGAGTCCTAGACCCTCGCAACTCATATGTAAAATTTACGGATATTTGTATCGTCAGGAGTAGATAATAAACGACGGGACTATTAGGCTGCAAAGACACAGGATTTGGTATGGTATGTAATGACATGTAGTGGGTAAGCTAGCTGTAAGCTATTATCAAATGTTTTTTATACCAACTTCTGTCAATGTTTCTAGTGTTTGCTGTGAGTCAATTATCTTCAGAACATTTGGTATGGTGAGGAAGGTCTGAAGGAGATTTCGAAAGGTGACATGGCTTGTACACATGCGTATCTGTAGGGGTAGTTTGTTCCACAAATAAGTGTATCTCACTAAGAAGAAAATCGATCGAATTTTATGACTTGAAAGGTTTGTACGTATCAAGTAGCCGCCATTACGTGTGGGGTAGACTGCAGTCTTCCGCAGTTCAAGTGCGGTGTTGTCTGCTTAAATTCGTTGGTTTATAATGTTGTAGAAGAGAACGAGGTTGTTTTTTAAGCGTCTCAGCCAAAGTGGATCCAGCTGCAGTCTTCGACAGCGATCATAATAAGTCAGGTTTGAGCAGCGTCCCATGAGCAGTTTGGTAAATGATCGTTGGACATTTTCTAGAGCCGTTCTGTCTTTCTTTCTCAATTGGCTGTGAAGGATAGTACAATACTCCAGAGTCGGTCGTACGATTGTCTTGAATGATTCAAGTCGTACTTCAGATAGGGAGAAAGTTCTGGTGATATATCCGCATAGCTGCCTCGCTTTCGCAACCTGATAAAGAACATGTTTGGAGAAATTGAAAGAGTTGGAATACCTAATTCCTAAGTCCCGAACTGACTCAGACGTTGGGATCACGTTTCCGGCAAGTATACTGGAGCCTTCTGGGATGCGGCATCTGTACCCAAGTACTTGGGATTTCACTGCGGAGAACTTCATTAATAAGCGCACACTAGCTATATTTAGTGCGGATAGGTCTTCACAGATGTTTCTCAAACACATATGTAGTTGGTCCGGATGAAATGAGTAAACCAGTTTGACATCATCTGCAAACAGAAATGGATGTCCATGTTTGATTGGGTCACATATATTGTTTACATAGATTAAGAAAAGTAGCGGTCCGAGCACACTTCCCTGGAAGACACCGCTGGTTATTGGCTTCGGTGTAGAATGTTGCTGACCGATTTTAACGACCTGAGTTCGACCGTTTAGGTATGAGTCGAACCAGTTAAGCAGCGAATTTCCAATTCCATATGACTCTAGAGCAGACAGCAGTGGCTGGTGTGGCACGCGGTCGAAAGCCTTTTGCATGTCCAACAGAATTATGATAATTGCCATTCCTCTGTCAATCATAGTCGTGATGTGATCGAGAAATTGTAGCTGGCATGTAACGCAGGAGCGTCTTGAGAGAAAGCCGTGCTGTGAAGGGTTGATCAGATCCAGTCTTGTTAGATATTGAACAATGTTCTTCTTGACTATTCGTTCTAGGGGTTTGGAAGCAGCAGAGATGTGATTTATTGGGTGGTAGTTTGACAGTTGATTTCTCGGTCCACCCTTGTGCTTAGGCATTATAATGGATTGCTTCCATTGAGCTGGAAAGCAACCGGTAGTGAGTGAAAGTGTGAAAATGTTTAGTAACAATAGTGCGAGGTTTTTTCCTCCGAGTTTTATAACAGTTGGGGAGATGCCATCTGGACCTGGATGAGTTGATTGTTTTATGGCTGCGATGGCACTTTTCACCTCTCTTAACGTCACAGGGATATTGCAGTATAGTTCGGTCGTTCTTTTTGGAAGTGGAGGATGAAATGGCTGAATGTTGGGGACAAAAGAGGAGGCAAAACTAGAGTTCATGGCCTCGCATATACAGGAGATATCGCGCGTTATTGAACCATCGTCTAGAACCAACGTTTCAATTTCCTGAAGTGGTTTAGGGTTTCTTCTTTTGAGTAGTTGCATCAATGCACGTACTTTCTCAGGATTTCTGAGTACCCGGCTTTCTTCTTTGGTTTTGACTGTTAGGGTTAGATGTTGTAAATATAGTAAGTTCTCGTGTATTTGTAGCAATGTTGCGAAGCTGTTGTTCCTGCTGTATAGTGATTTGAGTTTCTTTAGTTTTATTTTGGCTTTGGACAGAAGCTTGAGTTCACCCCTATGTTCATGGGTATTTCTCCTTACAGTAGGTGCTAGTAGATCCACAACGAGGGAAATGTTGTTTATAAACTCATTTGTAGCCACAGTAGGGTTGTGGGTTAGGAATGACGTATTCCGATTCATGGTACCGATAAGTTCATTAAGTGCGTTCCAGTCCGCACGATGGAGGTTACGAATGGGTTTTAGCATTTTACCTGGTCGTTTAGGTAAATCAATAGTCATATCACAAAACACCGTGTTGTGATCACAGCCAGGCAGTGGATTATCAATGAATGTATAAACGTTCGCGATTCCCATCGTGAATACAAGGTCTAAGGTAGTAGCACTTCTAGTTGGCTCTCTAACATGCTGAGTCCAGCCATTGAAGTGGATACATGCGATAATTTCCTCAATCTCTGCCGTGTTTCTGAGTGTAGGCAGCGTCCAGTTAACGTGTGGTAGGTTGAAATCTCCACACATAATTTTGGATTTGTATGTGGTGCTGGAAGCAACATTGATCATATCGATTAGCTTTTGGGTTGCAAATTGTGTAGTTCGGGGCGGCCGGTAGATACAACCCACTAGAAGATCAATAGATGGGATCACTAGCCATAGTGTATCTTCTAAGTCAATGAACACAGGTTGATCTGCAGGAATGGCAGTCAGGTTATTTCGAAGATATATGGCACAGCCACCACCACGTTTGTGCGAGCGATCCTTGCGGAAAAGCTTATAGCCTAGGATGTTAAGCTGAGAATCACTAATTTCCGACGTGCACCAAGTTTCAGTGATAAAAACAATATCGGGGGATCTCATAAACATAAGTGTTGAAAGTATATCTAATTTAGGCAAAAGGGAACGTAGGTTAATGACAACAGCTTTGAAAGACATTGTTAACATGGACTGAAAGTGGTGGGTAATGTTTGTTTCATCGTCATTGTATCTGAGAATTGTGTGTTGTGAGGTAGCTGAGGCACACTGAGCTCCAGATCGTACTGGATTGAATGAAGTACACACTCTAGTAGTTTGATTAATCTCTGGTTCATAATCGTACGTGATAGGGGCAGGATTGGTGGGGGAGGAACTGGTGGTGTGCGATAGTCTAAAAAAGGACTGACATCCGTAGTATACAGGGGTGGGGGGATGCTGAAGTCGACGAACTCATTTTGCTTCGGTTTGTATTGTTGCCAATTGAGTAATACAGCGGGTGGTGGTGGGTGAATTTTGACTTGAGGTAGATAGGGGTTGCACCCTCTTAACTGTAAGTCCTTGTGGCCTACCAACTTTTTGTTTGCTAATTCGGTGTCGCATACATAGGGACTTTGCCAGCTTGAGGTCGCGGGGTTTGGAAACGTAGTCAGAGGCATTGTGGGTAGGTACTGGGCCGGCTCTCTGCAACTTATCCCGACAACAGTGTCGGTTTTGTATGTATAGGCTTGAGGACGTATACTTTTTCTCAGTTGGCCTAGCTGCACATCCCTGCGCTCTGGTGATGCTTGCTTCAGACTTAATGAGCTTTGAGCGTTTATGGGAGAAATTCTGGCAGGGCGCTTTCCCCTGTTTTTGCCTACGCCTCGGTTGGTCGGAGATAACCTATAGCTTAGTTCATTCGGGTCGGATAGAGATTTATTTTTCGGGCTGCCAACGTTACAGTCTGCTTTTTTGTCTCGCTCATGATAGGTCTCAGGTACAGTTACTGTAAACTGTTGTAAGGGCTCGCAGTTTGGAGAAGGGATAGGGGAGTTGAGTGTGTGGTCAGCAGGTGTCTGAATCGTTGTATTTTCAGCGTTGTTGGTAGTTTTAGTTTTAGACACATCACTACTGCTATTTGAGATTCTTTCATCAGGCCGCTGAAGACTGAGATGTCCATCATCGCCTATATTAGACGACGCGGTTGACTTGTCAAGGTCGACATTGCTGATGATAGCGTCAGTACTGGCTTCGTTAGTAGGAACATGGGGCATATGATGGGTGGAGGGATTTTGTTTCATTGTTAATCGTCTTTGAAGAGGCGTTTGATCGTGTT